CCTATAGTCCCACATACTCCTATAGTCCCAGCTACTCCTGTCATCCCAGCTACTCCTATAGTCCCAGCTACTCCTGTCGTCCCAGCTACTCCCGTAGTCCCAGCTACTCCTACAGTCCCAGCTACTCCTGTCGTCCCAGCTACTCCTGTCGTCCCAGCTACTCCTGTCGTCCCAGCTACTCCCGTAGTCCCAGCTACTCCTACAGTCCCAGCTACTCCTGTCGTCCCAGCTACTCCCGTCGTCCCAGCTACTCTTATAGTCCCAGCTAGTCCTATAGTCCCAGCTACTCCCATCGTCCCAGCTACTCTTATAGTCCCAGCTACTCCTGTCGTCCCAGCTATTCTTATAGTCCCAGCTACTCCTGTCGTCCCAGCTACTCCTATAGTCCCAGCTACTTGAGAGGCTGAGGCAGGAGGATCACCTGATCCCAGGAGTTGGAGGTTGCTGTGAGCGAGGCTGACGCCACGGCACTCTAGCCCGGGTGACAGAGTGAGACTCTGTCTCAAAAAAAAAAAAAAAACGAGACACCCTTTGCCCACACGGGGACCTCTTCTGCACAGCCCTCGTCCATTGGGAGGCTCCGCAGAGCAGGCGTTCGTGGGCAAAGCCCCCAAGCTCCCTGCTTTGACCCAACTGGGTCAGACGATGGAAATCGCCTTAAGCTCAGAGGCCCCCCAGGAGGACGGGACTGTCCCCCTGGGCCCGCCAGGCACTCGCTGCCAGAGCCCCTCGCCACCAGGCTGCGGAGTCATGATGTCGTCATGCCCGGCCAGGTGCACGCTACTCTTGCAGGAAGGGGACCTGGCCGTGCGCCCCACCGGCCTCACGGGTCACCTGAAGCCAGCTCTGTGACTGCCACCCGCTGCAGCTCTAGTGGCTTGCTATTCCCAGCAGCGAGTCGAGGATCGAGGACAGAGGGGGTGCACGGAGGGTCCAGGCCAGTTCTGAGAACACCCCTTCCCCTCCTCCGCCTTTCCCCGGGGACCTCAGAGGGCTGGGACGGTTGGGGGGTGCCCGCCTCCCCTCTGCATCCCTGCTTTGTTCTCTCAAGTTGGGTCATGCATCACTGTCCCCAAGCTCTGCTGGCCCCAGCGGGCTCAGCGAGGTCCCTTGATTTCTTTAGCTGCAGATCTGGGACACGGCCGGCCAGGAGCGGTTCCGCACCATCACGCAGAGCTACTACCGCAGCGCCAACGGGGCCATCCTGGCCTACGACATCACCAAGAGGAGCTCGTTCCTGTCCGTGCCTCACTGGATCGAGGACGTGAGGAAGTACGCGGGCTCCAACATCGTGCAGCTGCTCATCGGTGAGCCTGGGGGACCACGGATCGCGTGGCCCCGTCCGTCTCTGTCCCCTCTCTCTCTGCCAGGCAAGCGCGACAGCAGGGAGGAGCGGCTGAGTTTGGCCAGGCGGGAACCGAGCTAGGGTCTGAGTCGCAATCTTTCAAATTCTGATCCTGCCGATCACTTACAAATTATATTCCAAACTGGAGCTAGGCCGGGCGCGGTGGCTCCCGCCTGTGATCCCGGCACTCTGGGAGGCCGAGGCGGGACGATCACTTGAGACCAGCCTGGGCAACATAGCAAGACCCCAACTCTACAAAAAGTGGGCTGGGTACGGTGGCTCACGTCTGTAATCCCAGCACTCTGGGAGGCCGAGAAGGGAGGATTGCTTGAGACCAGCCTGGGCAACATAGCAAGACCCCAACTCTACAAAAACTGGGCTGCGACGGTAGCTCGCGCCTGTAATCCCAGCGCTCTGGGAGGCTGAGGAGGGAGGATTGCTTGAGACCAGCCTGGGCAACATAGCAAGACCCCAACTCTACAAAAAGTGGGCTGGGGATGGTGGCTCCTACCTGTGAATCCAGCACTCTGGGAGGTTGAGGAGGGAGGATCGCTTGAGACCAGCCTGGGCGACATAGCAAGACCCCAACTCTACAAAAAGTGGGCTGGGTACGGTGGCTCGCGTCTGTAATCCCAGCACTCTGGGAGGCCGAGAAGGGAGGATTGCTTGAGACCAGCCTAGGCAACATAGCAAGACCCCAACTCTACAAAAAGTGGGCTGGGGATGGTAGCTCGCGCCTGTCATCCCAGCACTCTGGGAGGCCGAGGAGGGAGGATCGCTTGAGACCAGCCTGGGCAACATAGCAAGACCCCAACTCTACAAAAAGTGGGCTGGGGACGGTAGCTAATGCCTGTAATCCCAGCACTCTGGGAGGCCGAGGCGGGACGATCGCTTGAGACCAGACTGGGCAACATAGCAAGACCCTAACTCTACAAAAAGTGGGCTGGGTATGGTAGCTCGCACCTGTAATCAAAGCACTCTGGGAGGCCGAGGAGGGAGGATCGCTTGAGACCAGCCTGGGCAACATAGCAAGACCCCAACTCTACAAAAAGTGGGCTGGGGACGGTGGCTCACGCCTGTCATCCCACCACTCTGGGAGGCCGAGGCGGGAGGATCACTCGAGGTCAGGCTGGTCTTGAACTCCTGACCTCGAGCGATCCTCCCGCCTCGGCCTCCCAGGGTGCTGGGATGACAGGCGTGAGCTATCGCGCCCGGTCCTCAAGACGATTTTTAGTACTTGTGTAGTCCGGGGTCCTCACCCCAGCGGTCAGGCCGATGCTTCTGACTCGAGTAGGCAGGTGGGGCCTGGAGGTGGCCCTAGCCAAGAAGAGGGCGGCACGTGGAGCCACCCTGCCCCAGCAGGAACAGAGCTGTCCTTAGCTGGCCTGACAAGTTCCCTTTTACGTAAGACATTCCCAACAGAACATTCTACTATACAGCATGTCCTACGGCGACCCTGCCTCTGCAGTTTACAACTCCTGTCAAATCTCCGTTTGTCTCTGTCCTCGTCAGCTTCCCTCCCTCGTATCATTTTGAGACAAATCTCCCGTCAAACGATTCCATCAGGCGGGACCCTGTCTTCTACAAAAAAACGAAAACATTAGTCAGGCATGGTGGCGTGAGCCTGTCGCCCCAGCTACTCCTGTCATCCCAGCTACTCCTGTCATCCCAGCTACTCCTATAGTCCCAGCTACTCCTGTTGTCCCAGCTACTCCTATAGTCCCAGCTACTCCTATAGTCCCAGCTACTCCTGTTGTCCCAGCTACTCCTATAGTCCCAGCTACTCCTGTAGTCCCAGCTACTCCTGTCGCCCCAGCTACTCCTGTCATCCCAGCTACTCCTATAGTCCCAGCTACTCCTGTCGTCCCAGCTACTCCTATAGTCCCAGCTACTCCTGTC